TATATATATATATATATACTGTATATATACATATATATATATATACTGTATATATACAAAATGCCTTGTTGATGCTAGAGGTCAGAGGAGAATGGGCTGACTGATTCAAGCTGATAGAAGAGCAACTTGATACTTGTTGCTGGGATTGCCAGCAACTTCCTGGCAACTGGCACCAGCCCAACTGACATCTCCTGCTAGAAGTTGAGAAGGGACTGACCGGTCATCTTTGTAGGCTCGTTCATATATTTCAGCACCAACTGGCGACTCCATGACTCGTTAGTGTTACCACGGTCCTCCCTCTCCTCCTCCAGCTTGAGAAGAAACTGTGCACCTCTGTGCCTGTGGCCACTAGGTGCAGTGGGTCTTCTGAGAAAAAAGAAAGATTGTTATGGTACAATTGAGGTTGCGATATAGGCATAATGCTTTATATAATGCTAAATACTCGTCTTTTATTGATGGAGGTAATGTACAACTTGTAGGTAGGTACTGACTGAGTGTATGTGTGTGTGAGAGAACATTTTATAGTTATTTTAGAAATTTCCTTAGAGTGCACTATCTATTCTTAGTACTACGCTATGAGTTACCCTGTTGGTTCTCTCCTCTATCCCTACTTTTTCTGCGATTCCTGCCAGAGCGTTGATAACCTCTTCATATTCCTCAGCATTGAGAGTTTTTCTTAAGAGACACCTCAGGCTAGGGGAGAGTGCTGTGGCTATCTTGTGGTAGAGGTAGATTTTGAATTTCAGTTCCACTGCCTGGCCTAATATCCTTTTCAGCTAGGAGGAGGAAAAATAAAATTACATTTACACAACTTTGTTATTGGATAATGGCCATCTTCTATTAGTTACCAGAATGACCAATAAAATAATTAAAATGAGGACTGTATTATATTACCTCTTTAACAATAACACTGTCTCCATCCTGAAGCAACAAACCTCTTAGCAGGGTTGCCTTGGTTGGGAGGACCAGATGAAGAGTAGGTGTCTGATCAGTGGAGAGGTGCCTGGTAGCCTCAGGTTCCAGAAGGCGGATAATGTATTCAAGAAGCTCTGGGTCTATGCCGTTGACATAACGGAGTTCATTTCGATGAAGCAGGACCTCATGCAGCTTACCAGACAGCAGAGCATTACTTACAGATTGCAGCATTGCAAGTCTGGTATTCCACCGCGTTTCCACAGCTTGCTTAAGTGATCTGTCTAGTACTTTTTGTAATCTGAAATTCAAGAAAGAGACAGTGTACATGAAGTAAGGTGATGAAATCTCAGGTCAGTTTGCTGACAGATTAAAATATTTGTTAGTTTAAAATTGTTTGTTAAAAAAGTTTAACAGCAGAACAGTTGAGTCAAAATACAAAGCTTGTTGAACAAGAAAATGTATTAATTACAGCAGTTGTTTTAATGTTGATTTAATGGCAACACTTTACAATTAGGTGTCATTTGTTAACATTAGTATTAGTAATATATTAACTAACATGAGCAAACAATGAACAATACATTTATTGCACTATTTATTCATCTTTGGTAACATTAATAAAATATCGTAGCTCGTTGTTAGTTCATGTTAGTTCACAGTGCATTAATGTTAAACAACTTTTGGTTTTAATAATGCATCAGTAAATGTTGAAATTAACATTAGGATTAATAAATGCTGTAGAAGTATTGTTTATTCCATGGTTCCAATTACGGGGGGGGGGGGGGTACTGTACCCCCCGATCAAGACCCAGACCCCCCCAAAGAGACAAAAATAGGAGTTGGGGGGGGGGGAGTCTTAACATTTTTCTCTTGTTGTAAAAAAAAAAAAGAACCTCACCTTGTAGGAAAATTTTATGTAAAACGATTTCAGTCACCCCTAATGTGGACCGTACCATTTTAACCACCAGTCGGTTGCGTCATTCATCATCATTGCGTGACCTGTTCATTGTGTTTGTCTGTCATGGTACTGTTTGTCGTGTGTTGATAAATGTGAGTAGCCAGCAGAAGTCTAGCCTATTGAAAATGTATTTTACAACCTTTATTCGTTTAAGTGTTTCATCTACTAATGCAAGCTGACGTCTTTATAAGTTGAATTATTTACCATTGTCCTTCTGAGACCGGTGTTCTGTCGAGTTGAGCTACTTTGCCGAGGTAATCTACCGTAGTGCTAATCGATAGCTCTAACCATAGCTTACCTCGACAAAGTAGCTCAACTCGACAGAACACCGGTACAGTCAACGATAGTTACGTTAACTAGCAAGATAAGCTAAGTACTTTATTTAAACCATGGGCTTATTTGGTGAGGTAAAATCGATCATGGTCATTTTCAAGGAGATGAACTCCCTATGTTTCCATTCTCATTTTATCACGAATAAATTGTGCCTTTCTGAAATTAATTCGCCACTTAGCCTGTGTGGTTTGTTATTATGCTAATGTTAATGCATAAGAAGGTCTAACGTTATGCTCTGAAAAAACATTACTATAAGTGAAACCTATAAGGGCAACGTAAAAAAAACTAGCTAGCAAATAATAAGCCCTATTATTTGAATTTTAGTGGTATTGATTCTGCATTCCATAATTTCATATTTATAGACATTTTTAGAAGTTTCATCTGATAGCCCAGATACTGTTTTGTTAAATATAGATTAGATTTTATTCACA